ATATTTGACTTATCTGTTAATTCATTAAATCCATAACAGTCCTTAATACAGAAAGTATTTATGTAATCATTACGTACATTATATTAACAGACAGAACAGAAAGAAAAAGATAGATGCAGAATACCCAGTCTGTAATATGTAGGTAAGCAGGTTTAGATGATGTGTGGTCTATAGCGAGACAGCAGCGTCAGAGGAAGTTTGAGACTGTAAGTGTGTTGAGCAGAGACGTTACTCAATAATAATAAGAGAAGTAAGAACTACACTAGAGTGAACAATTATTACACAGTCCTTTTAATAGATGATTCGCTTTCTCTCGTGGCGTCTATTTCAGTATGGACTCTCGAAATAAAGTCCGTGTGATTCGCACCGTTCTGCCGGTGTACGCATTGCCGCCGACAACAGTGGTGATTGAACACTTTTCTATTATTACCAGATATAATATCTTTATAACTTTATGATAATTTCGTAGAATAGTATTATAAAAATATTATCGTATGCTGCTTTGATTATTTTATAATTAATTTCATGCTAATTTTAGAATTTATAATTTTTAAATGATTTTATAATTTTGCATTAAGAAACAGTCGTTTGATAGAAAAAGCAAAATAATAGCAACGATATTACATCTAATAAAGCGAAATGTCGCCGATTAGTTCTAATTATGAGTCGGCTACATCAATATGTCAGACGGAAAAAAAACTGCTATCGATCACGAATTAATTAACGTCATTGCGAATGTCAGAAAGGAGATCTAGGAACAGGATCTCGTTTCAAAATACGTTCGCAATCGAATTTATTAAATCGACTAACTTGTAGATTTTATATGTGAAAAATAAGAGAAACGGTAATATGAGACGTGAAGAACATGTTGAGATGTGCAACGTTGTCACGCACATCCTGCACATGTTTACGACGCGCACCTGCGTGTGCGCTGCCATTTGAATAATTGATATCAAGTGAACACTAAAAAATTTAAATCTTCAAATAATCCAAGATTTATCAATCTAAACTTTAAAGTAAATAAATAAGTGTCTCTGAAGTAAGATAATCATTAGAAAATCTTGTACTTTCATTAAACACGTCTATCAGAAAAAATTGTATAATCTAAATAATTATTTCGAATTACATGTTACATAATTTTTCAAAAAGCAAATACGGAACGTTAAAAATGCACTATTTAAACAAAATCATCGAAAGAGAGAAATACGTTTGTGTGATGTAAATTTTCAAATGAAATTATTTCATCCTGATTTGACCCTAAATTTCTTCTCCACCCGTAAAAATAATCGGAAAATACGATCACCATGTGAACCGATGAAAAATCCGAATTGCCGAGAGAATTGTCGACTTGTAACCGGTCAACCGTAATCGCTTTAAATCACCTCCGGTCGTCCACGCGAGAGCGGCCAGCGAGAGTGAGCGTGCAAGCGTGTAGTATGCGTGGCGAATGAAACGAAACGGGTGAGCACGATTTCATTCATGCGCGACCTACTTAAATTTCATTCAACGATCGGCGCGGACCTTCTCGCCGTTACACGTATGCAGTAACTAGCCTTTCTCTCGATCGTGGTGTCTAGTCTGTCCTCGGAATCGCGGAATTGCGAGTTAAGCACGCGATATCATTCCGTGCTCCAAAAAAACTTCGTGTTTTTTTCTTTTTTTTAGCAAAGTTTCAAATTTTGCTTTATCTGAAAAATACCGCAATATTAAATTGATGTGAAACTCAAAAGCAAAGAAAACACATGAATAAAGATGAAATTATTAAGAATATATTGTTTAAGAATCTGTTTCATTTAAATCCGTTAAGTTAATATTAGTTTCGTTTGCTATCTTCCGACACAACATCCGCGCAACAATAAATCTTCAAACTTTGTTTCCAGCTCGTCTTTCACCATGATGACGATAAGACACTGTAGACGGGATTCGATATCACAGATCGTCTTACCAACAACCAGTTGCTGATAATGCAACAATATTCGAGAGCACGGTGTAGATAACTAGGAAGTTGTTTACAGACGTCGCGGAAATGGACTATGCACGTAGTTTCATGTACAAATAATGTTTAAATTATTGATAAGGCGTATAATTAAGCAATAAATAGTGCTTATAATTTCTTATTGCTTTTTCAATTATTCGACATTCGTTTATCATTACGAACTGCGCGACAAAGGTAAACAACGGTTTTTTACTGCCGCCTGCAGAGATAATTCCGACTGGACAGGAAACATTAAGATCTTTAATTATAATTTTTACTGGCGATAAATATTTAAGTAATTTTATTACTGAGTTAAACAATTGCAATTACACATGCAATTACCGAAATGCGTTAATTAATAATGAAACAAATAACGATTATATCTTACTATTAATTTTTTTATTATTATTATATTGTTTTTTATTGTAATAATATACTTTATCCGAAAATTATATTTTAAACTTTTATAGTTTTAACGATATTTCTGCATTACCGTCTAAGAAGTAATGAATAAATGTTAAAAGTATTTATTAACAGAATTTATAAAATAGATAAATAAACAATAATGTTGGCTTTTTCTTCTCTTATTTCTTTAATTTGCTAGGTGTTCTGCATTACAACTTAATACTAACGATGCAACATCCTTAATTTTTAAAATATCCTTTATCCAAAGAAAATTATTCAAAAATATTACATAATTTGTTTTTAATCATTTAAACTTAATCATCGTAAATAATCAAATCAATTTAATGAATTACGTAACAAAATAGTTAATTAAAAGTAAATACTAAAATATTATTTTATAATTAATGATACGCTCTTTTAAAAAAATACTCGAAGTAATAAATTTTTCATAGTAAAAGACCAGAAGCTGACAGATAAGATATAAATTATGGTATTATAATATTGTATGCAAAAATAAATATTTTTTCATTTACTCCCTAAATAATGGTAACAGCATATCCATCAAGGCTACGCAAAGAGAAAATTAAGAAGCATATTACTGACTACGCTCAATTGCGAAATTCGAGATCAACGATCGACGAGATTGCAAATCGATGAAGCGTGGTTAATTTTAATCGCCAATAATTATGGCGATAATTACGATTGCGCGCGGATTATTCATATTTATCTGTTATGCAGCTACTTTCACTGTCGCCGATACGGCAGCCATTGTGCATAACCGCAACACCTCGAGAACCGGTATTCCCTGAGTGCGATTTGCATAAAACTTTATCGCGGCTATCCGGAAAATGCATTCCAGCCACTTAAAATAATTATTCCCACATTTAATAGTTATTCTCACATTTTTTTCGCCTAAGACGCTGCAATTTGTCGCTATTAGCGGCGCTATTACTTATTTCTAATGCAATTTTCCCCGTACAGATCGATCAAACATGCAGAAACTCAAACTCTCATCAATGTGATTAGTCTTCACTCTCACGAGAGAATGCTGCCGTACGTCTATTAAGCTGACACAGCCACTTTAGCACAATCGAATAAAACATAACAGAAATTTAGTGCTCTTTTGATGCTAATTTGATGCTCAATTCCCGATTTTGATGCTCCAGCCGAGTCGTAGAAAACAATAGCTGTACTAACTTAAGATTTAAGCTAGCCATTAAAAAAAATAATAAAAATAAAAAAATAGTACATATTCTTTTAGTGCTAATTTGATGCTAATTTGATGCTCAATTTCTGATATTGTTGCTCCACCCCGAATCCTTAAAAACCACCCCTAACTATCCTATCATCAGCACAACACCTCAAAACGGCAAATTAATCGAATATCTCGATAGATTACGTTTCCCTGATTTTGTTGCTCGCGATTTGCAACAAATCCGATTTTGTTGCTCCACCCCGAACCTTTGAAAACCATCCCTAACTACCCTATCATCAGCACAACT